AATGATGTCTTCCCAACTTGCAAAATGTGTGTCTGGCTCGGGCATGTCACGAAATTTGTGGTATGTAGTACGTAACCATTCCAGATCGTCCATGATTCTGTGCATCCAAGACGTGCGCCTGCCCTGTGCAACCCGATACACATGTGCAACCAAACTGCGTAGTGTGGGTGCGCCGTAGTGTATGAGTCGTCCTAGTAAGCGTAGCCTTGGAACACGCAGCACTGCCCGTAGGTCCGCTCGCTCTACCTTAGCAAGGATCAGTCTGTCCGGAGCTGGCTCTTCATCCTTTTGTGGTAGGTGGAGCACCTGACGATATTGTAGTGGCCTTCGGCCAGTGCCGCCGATCCGGGTCGCTCGGGGTTATTCTCCAGACGCAGAAATTATGGGCGCACACTCAAACGCACACACACAGTCACACCACTTAACCTGCGCCGCAGACATGCGCACACAGCATCACCCACACACACATACTAGTTGGGAAACGCTCCTGTAGTACTAGTAGTAGTATTAGTAGTAGTAGTAGTAGTAGTAGTAGTAGTAGCAGTAGTAGTAGTAGTAGTAGTAGTAGTAGTAGTGGTAGTAGTAGTAGTAGTGGTTGTGGTAGTAGTGGTAGTAGTAGTAGAGGCCTCGTTCCGCGGCTTCTCTCGACTTCCCGCGGTCTCTCTCAAGTTTCGAGCACGCGGTGAGTTTCACGATATATGTGTGTGTATGTACGCGTGCATGCATGTATGCATGCATTGATCATGTGTGCCTGTGTGTAGGTACGTATGTATGTATGTATGCTTGTGCGCGTATGTATGTATTTAGTTTGTATGTATGTTTGTATGTGTGTATGATAATATGTGTGTATGTGTGTGAATGTAAGTATGTATGTCTGGAAGATTGTTTTTCTATGTATGCAAATGTGTTTAAATGTAGGTATGTATGCATGTGTGTATGGATGTGCGTTTGAAGAGCGAGGATGTTTCAAAGAAGAGGCACTCGGTGACGCGATCGTTGAGGGATAGGAGTGAGGTCGCAGAGGAGGAGGAGGAGAATGAGGAAGAGGCGATAACTTGAAGGAAAACGATGAGACGGAGGACATCCTGCCGGTGGCGCCCTGGGCGGTGCCGCGGAAGAAACCGGGGGCCTGCCGGAGGCAGTCTGGAGGCCTCTGGGGAGCTGTTTTGGGGCCTCTTGGAACCTCTTTTGGGCCTCTTGTGGGCTTCTTGGGGCCCCTTGGGGGTCTCTTGGGGCCTCCTGGGGGCCTCTTGGGGCGGAAAGCTCGGTTCTTTCGGTTCGTGGTCCCCCTCTTGGGCCCCTCTTGGGGCTCTCTTGGGGCCTTCTTGGGCTGTCCAGAGGCCCTCTTGGGCCGTCTTGGGGCCCTCTTGGGCCGTCTTGGGGCTCTCTTGGGCCGTGTTGGAAGCATCGTGGGCCGTCTTGGGACGGACTTGGGGGCCTCTTGGGCCGTCTTCGAGCGTCGGACGCCCGAAAAGGCAAGAACGCTAAAAACCCTGAGAAAACCAATGAAAATCAACGATTCTGGCCTCTTGGGGCCCTCTTGGGAGGCCTCTTGGAAGCTTCTTGGGGCGTCTTGGAGACACCTTGGGCCGTCTGGAGGCCATCTCGGGCGTCTTGGAGCGATTTTTCGGCGACTCGGGGCCCTCTTGGAACCCCTTGGGGGTCTCTTGGGCCCCCCCCCCTCCTCCAAAGCGCCGGAAAAAGCGGAGCATGGCGCCCCCCCCCCCCCTATCTTCCACTCCCCCGGAGCGGCCCCGGGGTTCGCCGGAAACTCGCACCCCCCCCCCCCCTCCCCACCCCCCCTTCCCCGGCAGAGCCACCCCGGCGACCCCCCCAGAGGCTGAAGCTCAGCCTCGAGGCTGTAGCTGAGACTCCTTGAAACTCACACGCCGGATCGGCGGATTTATTCACCATGACGTGCTGCATGTGTGCATGTTGCGCGTCAGTGAGTTGTGGCCAAGTGCCCGAATTGAAGAGGACGCCCGAGAAGAGGAGGGTGTCTGTAAAGTGTAATTTTGCCTATTGAGGGATATCCACTGGAGCCCCAAATATGCGCCGTCGTAGCAGATTGGCAGATGACCGTATAGAGTCCTCCCTGTGGGCCAACTCGGGCCCTATGGATCCCAGCTCATCCAGTTGTGTGCCCAAGTGTGGGTATGTGCGTACTGCATGTAGTGTGAACGTGCCCAGTAGGTCGGATTGTATCTCGAACTTCCCCTGACGGTCCCGCCAGAGTTCTCGTTTGGCCAGTCTGGCTCCACGTCCTCGCAACTGAAACAGTACCTCCGTTTTGCCCGCTGCAAAGTTGAGGCGCAAGCCTCTGCGTACAAAGCTGGCTGCAACTACCTCTGCAACGAGAGGTGCTGCACGTAGAAGCATGGGAGCATGGCCAATGACAATGATAGCTCCGTCGTCAAACAAGCATATGTCCAATCCTCATCTTAGTGTGTCTGGCGTATGCTGCAGGAGGTCGGCTAAGCTCGCATGCGAAGCAATGGGAATGCGGATGTCGAGCTCGAGCTCGCGTAGCGATTGCTGTGCATCCTGGATACATGTTGCCATGACAAAATTGAAAATCACATCCCCAAGCTGCTGTCCTGGCACCGTTCCCCCCAGTGAGTATGCAACTGCTGTGGCTCCTGGGTGCCAAAACCAGCTGCCTGTGTAACTGGAGGCTGTAAGGGCCCTGATATGTTGGGGTACTCCAGCGGCCTCCAAGATGGTGGGGTGACTGGCAATGTGGGCCTTGAGGTTTTCAATGGCACCTGCTGGGAGCCCCGCAGTGGTGAGGATGAGGTGGAGGTCGGCGTCACTTGTGCCAACCTGCATGACCAGCTCCCTGATGGCTCTGTAAAATGCAGAGGTGGCGTCAAGCATGAAAAACATGGCTGGTTGATGCAATGTTGTGGCCAGCTCTTGGAATGATCTGAGCGCAAGTGCTGCACGATCTACTCCTCTGCCTGCAATTTCTCCAAACTGGGAGTCCCCTGCAAACGTTGGGAGCACCTTGGCGAGAGGGTTTCTGATGAGCTGGCGATACGTCTTACCCACTTGAGAGGAAATCATGACCGAGCGATGGTGTTTGCATTTGGCTGGGTTAGCCTTCTTCTTCCAGATGTTCCAGTAGTTCCCTCCTCTCCACTGCAGCGGTTCTCCTATCCTGAGGCATGCCTTGACCACCACGGGGTAGAACAGTTTGCCTAAGTCTGGCGCAAACTGGCGTAGCAGGGCACCTGGGATGCCATCTAAGCTGGCTGCTGAGGGCTTGGCTGAGCGGCACGCTCGTTGGTAGTCTGCCAGGGTAGGTAGGAAGGCGTCCGATGGGTCGATGTCGTTCGTGAGACTACTCTGGAGCTTAGGGATAGTCTGTGCAAAGGTGTCTGCATCCTCCAGCGGAACCACTACCCCAATCTCCTCGGCGGCAAAATGGCGTAGCCAGCGATTAGCAGACTCTGCGTGTGCGGAGGCGGTTGTGCCATCCTCCAGTTCTACAATAGGTAATGCACGTGTGCTGACTCTTTTGGCTGATCCGATACCCATGGCACGTAGCTTGGCAAAAACTTGAAAGTAGTTCCTTCGTTCCCATGCGTCGGCCACACTAGACGCCAGTCCTCCGTAGTGCTTTAGGGCGTATTGAGCTGTCGAGTGGCGAATGAGCAAAGTTGTGCGAAACAACATAAGCTCACGATGGGCACTCGCACAGGCGCGCACTCCATGCGCATAGCCCCAGCAGCATGTGACATATTTCCATACCTTGTACCGTCCCGTCCAAGTAGGTTGATGGTAGAAATGGTGGTGGTAGGATGATGGCGGATACCCCTTGGTGCCCCCATTGCGCCAACATCCTGGGTCGTCCCAACCCTTGTCCTCCTGATCCCTTCCCTGAGTGTCGTTCCCTAATGTAGGCTTGTCTCCTTAGTAGCGACGCTGTGGCCTGCGGAAGTAGCAGGCATTGACTGTGTAGGGAACGAACCTGGCAAACTAAGGCGGGCAGGCTAGGGAAGCGGCCAGTGGCTGGTGTGTCGTCAGCCTCGAAGCTCATGGATGCAATTGCCCACTGCCAAGCAAAGAAAAGAACACGCAGCATGTTGCGATTGGCCCAGAGGAGGATCTTGCGGGAGAGGCGTAAGTATATACTTCTTTCGCCCTGAAGGCTCAGAGTGTCGATGCTGATCCAGGATTGCCTTGGTTGTCTCCCTGTAGCTGTCTCTCGTATAGGAAATGCCGTGCTCATACACTGTCGTGCGTGGTCTTCACACGCCTTAGTATGGTCTGTGCTGTGCACACTGAATGGCGGGGGGCGGAACTGCATGAGCATGTGCTGGAATATCTGGGCTGAGGTCGGATCCGTGTAAAGAGTCGGATCGTGCTTGACTTTGTAGGGCCTGGGCGCCCCCGGCATGAACCCGGAGGTTGGAAACAGAAGACGCGCAGCTGCCACGTTGTGATCTGTCTGTGGCACGGTGAGATCGATGTCGTGGTCGACCAACTGTGCTGGCACCGCAACGTCCATTGATATCGCCACGTAGTCCCTGCGGTGGGTTGTTGTTTTGGCCCCTGGAGCTGTCCAGGTAGCCCGCTGAGCCTGAGGGGTCCTCGTAGAAGGTCGATGGGGCCCATTGAGAGGTAACCTTGAGGAAGTCATGAAAATGCTTCCCTGGTAGGTTCTGCTTTTCGGCATGTATGGGGCCCACGTGAGCGTCCGTTTGGGATCCCAGAGCGGCGTTGGCATCCACTAGCGTGACCAAGTGTTCAGAGTCCCCTTTGTGTTGTATGTAGCGTCGCAGCCGAGACCACCAACTGTCGATGTCCGTTGGGGGGCGGCGGGAGTGCGGAGCATGCGCCACGCAAACACAGAGCGACATACTTGGGGCCCGTGCGGCCACAATGAGCACTGTAGGCTCTGCATGCAGTACCTGTAGGCGAGAAGGCTGCACTGTAAGACCTGGTTGGTATTCCCAATGCGTGTTGACCCATAGTGCGCAGCCCTCTCCTCCGGCGTCGGAGGCCTGTGAGTGCAACAGGTAGAACTGGCCTAGCTCGGAGGTACCCGTGCGACGAAGACGCGTCTCCACGGTACCTATCAGGAAGTAAGGCTTCTGTGCGAATTGGCCCGCGAGCCGCATCATTCGGCCAGTGGCATTGAAACCTTGGTATCTGTCGGGGCTCCCTTTGTGGGCCTTGTACGCACGGGGGCCCAGGGAGAGCACGTTGGCAATAGCACGCCACCCGAGCGCGAAGGTTTTGAGGCCTTTGGGAACCTTCTTGGGGGCCGGGATGATGTCCGTGAAGCCCGTAGTGGGAGCCTGGGGGGTGGGTAGATGCTGTCCGTAGTGGGGCGGGTAAGCCTCCTGCGTAGTCGGATCAGCGTATGCCAACCAAATCCATGGTAGTGCCTTGTCGTGTTCTTCCTGGGAAATAAGGTGCCTCCAGACTGGGTCAAAGAACTCAGGGAGTATATCCATGGCGTAGAGACGCGCAAGTGTGTCGACGCACTCGTTCCAAGGGTGTGCTGCGTGTCCATGCACATGCTCAAAAACGACATTGTGCACGCACATTCGTATGGCCTGGATGAGACAATCCAGGAGACGCTCGACCGGTTGGAGGGTGCCCTGCACGTATCCTCCCCTGTATACTCTGAGCACGTCCATGTTGTCAGTGTGAAAGCTGACTGTGGCCTGGCGCAGATGCACGGGCGCTTGCAGCAGCCAGGCGCTGGCCCAAATGGCCGCCTCCAGCTCTGCTCGTAGAGACGCACAAGTGTCCGAAGCGTCCCAGCCTCTGAGTGGCCCTGCAAGATGTCCTATCAGAGAAACCCCCATGGCAGTGAGTGCAAGTACGCAGAAAGCCCATGTCGGTTGACACCTGTTGCCTTCATAACGATAACCCCCTGCTGTGGCATCTGTGTAAACTTGAATTTCCTCGATGGGCATTCCCATGGGAAGGGGTATGAGAGTGGCAAAAGCCTGAATTGTAGACGAGTGCCAATATCGGGCCCAACTCAGGATGTCTGTCGAGAGCTGCACTGGCCATTTCCGTTCCAAGAGAGATGCAGTGTCCGAGTAGTGTGGGATGGGAGAAACCGAGATACCCTGCACTGATGCGGTCACATGCTCTCTGTTGTCGTGCTCCATACATGGGGCACACTGCTTTTCCTGTCGTGATGGAGAATATTCATGCAGGCGGGGGGAAAAACCTGGATGGATGGGAGATGTTAAATTCGAAGGCCGAGACGGTTCTGACACGGCCTTTAGCGAAAAACTGGGTTCGTTGGTGATGCGCTGGCTGGCGGAAAAGCAATAGCCTGGGCAACACTCGCAGGCGACTGCAGAGCGGCATGGTCACTGTCCTCGGCGGCAGCTCTGGCTGCCGCTTCCTCTGTTGCCTCACGGTTTGCCACTTCTCCTGCACCTGCGCCCAGGGCTCCTCCACCCCCTCGGTCAGCTCGTAGGACTTTGGCCCCCGCCTGTCCACTGTCCGTATGCCGTCGAGGGGAGACTGAACGTGTAGCTCGGCGGCCTAGCAGGGCCGCCTCCAGCTTGGCTCGGTTGGCCTTCTGGATCTCCGCTGGCGCTGGCTTGTCCTTGTCCTTCTTGGGGGTCTGCATGGCGACTGCGGTCTTAGCCGCATCGATGGCGGCGGCGGTGATGGTCTCCATGTCGGATTTCTTCTCGGTCCTGGTGTTGGCAATCTCACTCTGGAAGTGGCCACAGTCTGCTGGAACGATGACATGTTGTGCAACATCTGTGCGTTGGATTGCTGTATTGCTGCCAATAGTGCTGGCATGCTGACTTCATTACCCATGACCGCTGCAGTGGGCCCTCCAGGTGGTGCCTGCGAATTGGGCGGGGCGGCCTGGGAGCGCGGTGTCTCCTGGCCTCCAACTGCTGCGGCTTGAACAGGCGTACTCGAGGTCGCGGCAGGAGTAGCTGTCGTGCGCTGCACTGTCGCTGTCCTGGGCGGCGTCGTGAACGGTGAGGAACTGGCCGTCGACCATGGTGCCTTGCTGGTTGTTCCTCTCTGCCCTGGGCGGAAGCTCGTCTGCGCGAGCGGTCCGTCCATCATGAGTTCGTCATCATCATCGTCAGGAACGGCGATGCTGCCTGCGATTGGTTGTTCATCGTCCAAATCTTCAAAATGTTCCAACAACTGTTCTGCTTGTGCGAGTTCATCTGTGAGAACTTGGCATTGAGTGTCGGCCGCCTCTAACTGCTCTTGGAGTAAGTGCATCTTTGCCTGGGCGTCCACGAGTCGCTTCTTGCAGCGGCCGACGAACATACGCTGCTTCGTGATCCTGGCCTGGGGGGACCTGGAGTGCATCATCTGGTAGAGGAGGACGCTGTACTCCTCTTGCATGCGGCTCACTTGCTCCTGGTCGAGATTGAGTGCGGCCGCGCAGTGCAGCTGGCGCTCGATAGATTCCACTGTGGCGGCCAATGCTTTCCTGAAGTCCCCTAGCTGCTGTGGATCTTGTGGTGGTTCGCGCCATCGACGATGTGCCTGCGCGAACTCGGGGGAGGCCGGCATACTCGGAATAATGTCATCTGTACCACCCTCTGTCTGCTTGGCCGTGCTCGCTGCGCCTCGCTGTGGGGGCTGCGAGGTGGCGGCTCGGCGCTGGCCACTTGGACGGGATGCCGATCTGGTTCGTCTTTCTCTCCATTCTGGAACTTGGCTGGGATGGCATTTGGCACACACCTGCGCTGTCCATGCATTGTGGTGAGTGCATGCTGGACACTCCCACAGGCGCTTGTATTTGGTGACCGTCTTCCATGGCGGGGAACTAGGCTGTTCACGCTCTGTACGATCATGACGTCCTCTGCTGTCACCTCTGGAACGACCTTTCGTCATGCTGCTGTGGTGTCTATGTAGTAACTCACTGGCTGAGGCGATGCGAAGCAAGGTCCTGGCCCTGCCTCGCTCGGCTCTGGCACGACGGTGCCAGGCCGGCTCGCCTCCGTCACGGCTGGCCCTCATGCTGCGCGTCGTGGCGGGGCACGCTGGATGGGCGGGCGCGTCTGGCAGCAGCCCCGCGTGAGAGGTCGCCTTACCTGGTAAGGCACCCGAAATCCTCTCGGGCCGGGGCGGCGGCTAGGAGGAGGAGGAGGGAGGAGGGAGGAGGAGGAGGAGGAGGGAGGGCGAGGGAGGATGAGGAACGAGAAGGAGGGAGGAGGAGGAGGAGCAGGAGGAGGAGGAGGAGGAGGAGGAGGAGGAGGAGGAGGAGAAGGAGGATGGAGGAGGAGGAGGAGCAGGAGGAGGAGGAGGAGGGGAGGGAGGCGGAGGAGGCGAGGGGAGGGGGAGGGGGAAGAGGACAAACTAGGTGCGCTCGCGTCATATCTGACATCCTACCCCTCACTCCCATCCCTTACCATGGCGTAGATCCCCTCTCTACTCGCACAGTCGGATGTCGAGCAGGGCAATGATCCCGAAAGGTTACGCGATGCATTGTAGAGCACGGCATGGCATGGCGTAGAAGAGCACCGCAAAGCGTAGTATGTCACAGCATGGCGTGGCGTGGCGTAGTGAAGAATTGCATCACAAAGCTTTGCAACGCAAAGTATGGCATCGCACAGCGGCCCCGAACATTACATTGCATAGCATGGCGTTGAAGATCAAAGCGTAGCATGGCATAGCATGACGTGGCACTTAAGCGCTGGATATGGCAGCTGCAGCTGAAGGCATGGCATCGCGCAGCGGAACGCAACCTAGCATTGAATTGCATGCCGTGGCATGGCACGGGAAATGACGCCAGCGCTGCAGCGGGAGCACGATTCGGAACGAGCGGAAGCGCGGAAATGAGGCCAGCGCTGCAGCGGGAGCACGATTCCGAACGAGCGGAAGCACGGAAATGAGGCCAGCGCTGCAGCGGGAGCACGATTCGGAACGAGCGGAAGCCCGAAAATGAAGCCCGCGCCTGAGCGAGGGCATCATTTTGAACAAAAAAACCAGAACCCAACTCCGGGACATCCTGTGTGTAAAAAAAACCGTACGCGGAGGGGTGCCCGCTATCTTCCGCACGCCATCAGGGGATGGAGGAGGGTGTATTCATATTGTGTACTTGTGGAGGAGCGGGTTGAGAGGCGCGCGGCCAGGTTGGCGGCGGCACTGCGGGGGCGGGCGGCAGCCAGGAGGCGCCCCCCTCGCGGGAAAGCCGCCGTGGGGGGGGGAGGGGGGGGGCGCGCCGCGGACACCCAGACCTGGAGGGCCCAGGGCCGAGGCTTCCCAGATTCGAGGGCTCCAGGATTAAGTCGGGCACGTCCTACAGGGGGAATATTCAAAAATAGTCAAAGCATAGTCCAGGGACGATTTTTTCAAACTGTTTCTGATGATCTTTTTTGGGTATTTTTGGCAATCTCCCATCTTGTTTTCAGAATTCTCCTGTAGAGGGACATGCCCGACCTAACTCCAGGAGCGAGGGTTCCAGGGTCGAGGGCTCCAGGAAGGGCTGCCCGAGGCTCGAGAGATTTGAGGATCCAGGATCCATGATCCAGGACCTGGACTTGAGAATCCGGGTGTCCGTCTGGTGCCCTGGGCCAATGTAATGGGTTGTTCTAAGGTTTCCATTTTGCCAGGGTTCAGGGCTCCTCGTCGCAGTGCCTCCCGTGTTTGCTTCGGGATTATTGTCGCAGCGCGCTCAGGCAGTCTCCGTGTGGTCGACGTCCTCAAGTCCCGGGACCGAGATCTCTGGGTGTCGCAGGCAGTCACGACGCACAGTTTTGTTGTTTGCTTGTTCTGTCCCGCCAATTTTCGGGACCCCGCAGACGGGGAAGTGCACAGGGGGTGGGGGAGTTCGGTCCGTTGGCGCATCGAACCGCAGAACAAACGATGTAAAACGAGGTCTCTGGCCGCTGCCGGAACTCGAGAGGCGTCGACAATCGAGGCGCGCGGGGGGCATCGTGTTTTGGGGAATTCGATGCACCAGCGGATCGAGTTCACCCCCCCTCAGAGACCCCCCCTTTGGTGGGCCCCGAGATTCTGTCTGCTTCAGACTCTGCAGCATGGCAATATTTGGAAGCTGCATTCTGCCTGCACGACGCCCGAGCGCTGCGGCGCTGACTGCCCAGCCTTCCGGGGCCGAGCGCCTTGCTCGACGTGGTGTCCGTCCCTCCGTCCGCCCTGTCACAGTAGGGTAAGTCGGGCGCGTCCCTCTACAGGAGGAATGTTCAAACATAGTTTTTTTAATATAAACAAGTCCGGGGACAACTTTTCGGTCCTTACTAACAATTTGAGCATCTTGTATGACAATTTTCCATTTTTCGTCCGAAATCCGCCTGTTGGGGGACACGCTCGACCTAACAGTGGGGGCTCGACCACAAGACACCTTCCACACGAAGACCAACCCTGAGACCCCAAGACGTCCATTGATTTGGGGCATGGGAAACGCCGCGCCTTCCACAGCAAGCCCCTCGAAGCCCAAGAAGCCCAAGGCACCCTGGAGGCAAGCGGGGTGTCTCCTGGCATGGGCCTCCGCTGCAGCTTTCCTCGCCGAGGGGCACCTGCTGGGCCCCCCAGGATTGCAGTGCCAGCGGAGCGGCCCGCGGCTGGGGGCTGGTCCTGCCGATGGGGCCGAGCGTTCCGGAGCTCACGTCTTGAACCGATCACGAGGTGGGAATTCGGGGGCGGCAAAGGGGGGGGGTGACCATGGGGGGGTGGATCTCATGGCGGGGGCCATGATATTTCCCCAGATTTCATGGCGCCTCTTCTTATTTCATTGCGTCCCTGGCCCCCCGCTGGGCCGCGCACATGCCGCCGGTCATGATTTGCACCCCCCCCCTCTTG